TGTGTGTGTGTGTCTGTGTGTGTGTGTGTCTGTGTGTGTGTGTGTGAGAGAGAGAGACACGCTGCCGAGCCTAGACTGGGAGCAGAGCTGTGGGTGACCTACACCTCTCCAAGCATCCTTACCTCTGCCATACTCCAAGACTCTGGCCTCTAGGCAGGAAAACCATAGCCTGGTTCCTTCTCCAGCTTAGCCCCTGGGCTTTGTCTCAGCCATGGCTCCAGGACAGGATGCTCTTCTGAGACACTAACTCAGGATAGGGACTGGTTAACCGCAAGCACCTACTGGCTTCTCTGAGCTGGTTGTCTTCTCAGGCTTTCAGTGCTCAAGTCTCTGAGAGGGAAGGAACTCCAGCAATTTCAGGAGAATGGCCTGTTTGAGAAGTGTATAGGTTGAGAGCCATAGGCTTCGAGGAGTTTATGGAACCAGATCCGAGTGTGCTGTGGCCTGGGAGCCCTGATTCTGGGAAGGGAGTCCTTCAGTCCAAAGAGAGGTAACCCCAGGGGCAGGCACCTCTGAGCCTCCACACCACGTAGGAAGAGACCAGTGGCTGTCTCAGAACCACAAGGAGGCAGATGTCGAGGTTCTGCTGAGCAGGAGAGGCCCTTTCGACCCTCAGTCACTTACCTCTCCAGGGAGAGTTTTCAGCAGCCCTAGCTTCAGGGTGGCCGCCCCAGACCTGGAGGGCACCGAGAAGGGGGGAGTAGTGGAGCAGCGATTTGTCAGCATCACTGGTGAAGGAGCCTGTCTCCCTCTGTCAGAGGAAATTAACTGATGCTATCAGCTCAGCAATTGTTTTTCTTCCCTCACAAAGGGAAATGTATGCAGACCCCTCCAAGAGCAGAGCTGAATCCTCCCCATCTGGGACTGGCTGGAGAGATAAAGGTGGAGGGGGCTTTTCAGGGCCTCTCAGAAGCCTATCTGTGGCAGTTTCAGACCACTGGGGGTCTGTCTCCCAACCTTTCAGGTGTGACAGTTCCTCCTGCTGTCTGCCTTGAGTCCCCTTCCTATAGGTAAATGCCACCACCTCGTCTTCAGGCCTTCAGCATTGCTAGGTGCCACTTTTCTCTGAAGACCTCTCTGGAAGGTCACTGGCCTCTCCTAACCCATGTCCTGACCTTGGGAATCCACAAGTTCATGGGCCATTACAGCCTGGTCCACAAGAAGCCCTCTGAGCCCCATATTCACTTCCTTCTGGTCTAGGCAAGACTCTGGGGACCAGAAATCATTTAGGGTTGACAATAGTTTGTCCTGTGCCTTCCTTTCCAGGGGACATCCGGAACCTCCTTGTCTGGATCAAGAAGAATTTGCTAAAAGAGCGGCCAGAGTTGTTCATCCAAGGAGACAGTGTGTGAGTCCCTTTCTTCCCTTCCCTCAAGAGGCTGGGGGTTGGGGGAGGGAACGATGTTTGTGCTGTTATCCTTGGGCTCATCCCCAGCCTTCTCTAAGTTCTGTCTTCCCCTCACCTCTCTGCGGAAACAGCTTCTGTCCAGCTCTGTCTTAGGTCTAGTTCAGTTTTCTTGTTACCACACTGGACTGTTGGGGATTTTTAAAAAGCCCAGATGAAAGGAAATCAGTGAATTTCTAAAAAAACTTGGATTCAGCCTTCTGGTGGCCTCAAATTTACTGTGGAACCTTAGGCAAGTCACTTCCTTTCTCTGGGCCTCAGTTTTTCTCTCTGTACAGTAAATACTAAGAAGATGATGCTGCTCATCCCTCGATAGTCTATGTCAGTACTGTCCAATAGAATTTTCTGTGATGATGGAAATGATCTGTATCTGTGCTGTTCAGTATGGCAGCACTTTGCTACATAGGGTTATTGAGTCCTTGAAATGTGGCTAGTGTGACTGAGCAACTAAATTTTTTATTTCATTCTAATTTAAATGGCCACATGGGGCCTGTGGCTACCATATTGGACAGCGCAGGTCTAGGATTCCATGGAGTCAGCGTGTGCAGGCATGCATGTTTGCGTGCCCGTGCACACACACACACACACACATTTGTGCTCACTGTGGACACCCCTATCCCTAGCCCAAAACTTCTATACCTGTCCCAGGCGCAGCCCAGCCTCCTAGGAGAGGAACCAGGTTCCATGCACCAAGAAGTCTTTATTTCTAAAACAAGACCAGCCTAATATGTAAAAAAAGGTGGGCAGAACTGTCGTGGGACATGTTCACCTCCCTGGAAGCAGAGGTCACCAGCAGGCCCTGTGAGCAAGAGCTGCCTTCCAGCCCCTGGTTCAGGTCATAGTCTAGCAGTCCTAGTGGCCCTCCCCCAGGAACAGCAATGCTCCTTGGGCCACTGCCAGCAGGAGCCAGGCCAAGCTGCCCTTCCAAATGTTGGCCCACCCTGCCCATGCCAGACAGGGCTGCTTTAGAGCATTCAGGTGCTTGGTGCCACTGGCAGCCTCCTGAGCCAGAAGAGCCAAGATAGCCTGCACTCCAGGATGGGGATGCAGGAAGCCTAGAAGCCAAATCTCTTCATTTCTAGGGCCAAGGAGAGTGCAGTCAGACCCCTGGAGTGATACGCTGCTGCTGCTGGTTACCATGACACACATAGAGGCAGGCACGTGTCTCCCAAGTGTCATCGCATCTCTTCCTCACACAGACTTAGTGAGGAAGACACTATAAATTAAAACACACTGTTTTATGACGAGGACACTGACCATCAGAGAAACAAAGTTTCACTCCTGGTTCCAAAGAGCACAACTATCTGAACTGGTTTCCCTTAGATGCATACTGTAGCCTCCACTTCCTGGGAGATCTTTAACTAGCACCTCAGGAGGAAACGCTCCCCACCACACTCCCCTTTGGCCCAAGGAGTCTAAGCCTCTCTACTCCTGTGACCACCTCCTGCCCTTTTCTCCCTGCTACTCACCACCCTCTTCCCCACAGGCGGCCAGGAATTCTGGTGCTGATTAACGATGCCGACTGGGAACTGCTGGTCAGTACCTTGGGACACCCTCCCCCAGCCTCTACCCTCACTTCTTCAGCAGGAGAGCCTTGGGCCTCTCATCCGGCCCACATGGGGTGGCTGGGTAATCCTCTGCCCCACTCCAGCCCCCAAACTGAGGCGACTCAAGACTCCCACCCTCAAGCAAGGAAGGAATGGGTTGCTGGGGGAAGAGGTAAGCTCTCCATCCCAGAGCTTTGCAGGTTAACATATAGGGTACCCATTTTTCTGATAGATTCTAGCTTTCTCTCCCAGAGCAGCCAGGCACTGCCCCCCTCCCCTCCCAGTATCTGGGAGAGAAACTGGAGAAGTGCCCCTGACAGTCTCCCTCTCCTTTTTCTCCTGGACCAGGGTGAGCTGGACTACCAGCTTCAGGACCAGGACAGCGTTCTCTTCATATCCACGCTACATGGAGGCTAAGGGCCCCTCTCTGTGCCTGGGCATCCTTGGAGTGGGGAGAACAGAACAATCAGACGTCCCCTTGGGCCCTGCTTCCAGATCTCATGTCCCCCTTGGCTGCTTTCTTCCCGGCTGGGCTGTGTCCCCTGAGCTCTCTCCAGGCAGGGAAAAGAGGCCAGGTGCTAAAAATGAGACTTTCTCTGGCATGTGAGCAGGGGAAGGCAGGCAGGTGCCCGAGCCCAGCACTCCTTCTCCCAGCAGCTGAGGTGGGAGGAGGGTGTCCCTCAGGTTTATCAGGAGTGGTGGGGACTCTGTGGCCAGGTTACCCAGCTGCACTGGGGCCTAAGAAAAAGCCCTGCTCCCTCCACTCCTGTGACTCAGTCTAAGAGTGGAGTGACCGCTCTGCAGGCCACAGTGTCTCCGTGGGGGAAGATGAGTGGACCTGAAGAGCTGATGGAGGCCACTCTCTTCTCAAAGATCAGAGGAGTCTCTGCCTCAGTTTCCCCATCTGGACAGCAGAGGGCTCTGCCTCTCCCCCACTGATACCATTATGGGACCCCAGCTGGGGTCCCCTATTCAGTACTGACCCTCCCCCCCCCCACCTAGCAGCTGCTCTTCCAACCACACCCCTCCTCCTGCTCCCCCCACCCCCAGCCCTTGACCCTGGCTGGCCTCCCCCGTACACAGGCCACCAGATGGGCTCCTGAGACCATCCCCCAGCAAAAGGCTGCCTGCCACTCATCCTGCTGGGTAGGGAGGAAGAGAGAGTAGTCTAAACTTTGGACCAGTAAGTAGAGTCCTGGAGGGTTCAGTGTGCCTCAGTTTCCTCCTCTACAACAACGTGGATATTTATAATTATAAATCAGCTCGTCTGATACCTGATGGTACAAGTGTAGACTATCTCCCTTCCCACATCCTTTCTGGAAGCAGGATGGGGACAGACAGTGCTGGGTAGGCAGGATGATTTGCCCCTCCTCCCTCCATCCCTTCTGGAAGTCTGGGGCCTCAGTGCCTGCAACAGCTGGCCTTGGGCAAATAAAAGACTAGGTTGTTTACTAGCCTTGCTTGGAGCTTCATCCTTAGAAACAGGCGGGCACCCCCACATTCGCCAGTCATGGTCTCTGGTGCAACCTTCCTGTCCTCAGCCTAGGGCTCTCAGAGCTGCCCTTCACCCTGAAAGAGGGCAGGGGAGTTGCAACCCTAATTATCCAGGAGGGGGTGGTCTGGTAGAGACGGGACAGCAGAACTGGTTTGTGCTACCCGGCCGGCAAAGGCCAAGCTTAGTTCCACCAGCTGCAGCCAGCAGTCTCAGAACCCAGAACGGGGGTGGCATAGATGAAGCTGCTGAGCCTCTTCCCTTCCCATAACCTGGAGAAAAAAGCTTTGTTTGCTGGAGAGAGATCTCAGAAAAATTAGAGTGTTAACATCATCCCGCTCAAAACGCTGCTTTTCATTAAATGTCAGTAATTTAAGGTGGAATTTCTCTCACCCTGTGGAGATGAGAGTGCCAAATGGTTGTTCCAGCAGTACTGGGGGGCACATGGTTCTCAGGGCTTAGAGGACAGATGACCCCCTTGCTGGTGAGCTGCTCTCCAGCACTGCTGTCAGTGGAGGCCCTCTGGTCATGTGTGCGGGTAGGGGCGGCCATGTTGGGACCTGGGTAGGAGCTGGTCTGGGTGCGAATTTGGGCCAGTGTTGGGTTCTGAGTGCTGTCCAGAAGAGCTGTATGACCAACCCTAACTAGGTGCTGAGGTCAGCATCTCCACGTTAGGGAACAGAGCGGGGATTTGAATGACTTCCCTTATGGCCACGTTTTAGAGGGTCAGCCTGTTGGGATTCTTGTAACCTGGAGGTCCCCCCTGCCTCTGGCCCTCTTAAGCTGCCTCTGTGGCCCCTAGCCCCATCTGGGATATCTGGTTCTGAAAATCAAGCACTAGGATGCCTTTCCCTCTCACTGCATGCAGGAGTGGTGGAGGGAGATGCGGGATATTCCTTCCCCCTGTGTGGTACCCCAGTTAATGCTGAGAGTAGGGCAGGAGGATGTCCTGGGAAAACCCGGTTCTCAGCGCAGTTGGGGATGTGTGCCCGGTGGCTGAAATTGGTAAGGGCCAGGTCACTCAGGACTGTTTCAGGTCATTTTTAGACATAAGCCGGGGATGGAAAGGGGTCAGAGACAGGTGATCCTCAGCCACAGCAATTCCGAACTGCCCCCTCCCCCCTGGCAACTCCAGTTGAGTTGGCCCCTGCTCTTGAGGAAATAAAAGAATAAATAAACCCCACTATCTCCGAAGATTTTTCTTTAATGAAAGGGATTCATTTGTCCAAGTTCTATTTCCAAAGACAAGGCGACTGCCAGGCTGGAGCGCATCATTCCCGACTCTTCTCTGGCTTCGGCCGTGGCTGGAGACTCAACCCATCCTCGGTCGGAGGGGCTGGCGGGAGGGTTCGGTTTGCTTGAGGATTTAGGGGTTGGTTTATGCTTTTTTTTTTGTTTTGGGGATATTGGTGAGGGGATAGATTAGAACCGATTCAAAACGAGTTAGCGAGCATATTCCGCTGGCATCTTCTTTCGCCCCCGACTTCCTGCGGCTCTGGCCGAGGGCGGACTCCCCCGACCACATTCGGCCCCGCCGCTGCGTGCCAGCTTCGTTCCCAGCCGAAATTTCAAAGGGGGACAAACGACGCGATTGCCTGGAGAACCCCACCAGCCGGGACCGATCACCCTCAGGAAAGGAGAAGAAGAGGGACGAGGATGAGGATGGCGGCGCTGATAGCAGGGTCGGGCGTCTCTCCTCTGCTCCCGGCCGGGGCCGCGATCCTCGCCCAGGGGCCAGCAAGCCGCCTTCCCGAGGGGTCTCGCCTGCTCAGAGCTCGGTCCCTGCCTGTCCCCGTCCCTGTTGCGCCGGGAGCTTAACCACAGATGTCCAGCCACAATTCTCGGTTGGCCGCAGACTCGTACAAGAATTGCGTTTGGACAATCAGTGGCGAAGCCCCTGAGTTAAGGGCCGGTTTTCTGCGGGTTTGCGTTTTGCTTCTTAAAATCGCCGGACCTGGAGATATCCCGAGCTGTGTGTCCGACTACCTCGCAGATGCTCAGCGGTCGCGGCCCAGTCCCCACGGTAAGGTGGACGAGCAAGCATGCGGATCCCGACCCTGCGTGGGTATCCCCATCGCCCCTGGTGTGTGTTTCCATCGACCGCGGGCCCGGGGTCCCTAGAGTTGCCCGCGTTAGGTCTCTGCGCCGCCTCAGGTCGGGGGGAAATCTCCTCTGTCAGGCCCGGGGAACCCCGACACCCCTCTCCCCTCCCCCAGCCTGGGCTTCCTGGGCTCACTGGGAATCCGGAAAGCGGGGGACCGAGGCCGGGTCGCGTTTCCGAGCCCAGGGTCCAGGCTGCTGGACTCGTGGGTACCCCGCCCTCGCCCAGCCCCGCGCACGCACCGGCTCGGGCGCTCTCCGTTTCCCTGTAGCTGAGTCCCGGCGGGGGTGCCTGCGGTGGCTGTAGCGGTGGTGGCAGCGGCGGCCCGGGCGGCGGGGAACGCTGGAATGCGCCGCCGGGTCACCTGCAGCGCCCTGGGAGCCGGGCGGGCTGGCGAGGCGCAGGGCTGAACCCGAGCGGGCGCCTCTGGCGGCTAGGGGCCGGGGCGGGCTTTTAGTGGGCCGCTCCAACAATACGGGCCTGGCGCGGAGAAAGGGGCTCGGCTGCAATTGGTACTGGATTTGAATAACGCCACGGGGCCATCAATGGTCATTGTGTCGGCGGGTAATGAATCTCCGCTGTCTCTCGGGCTGGCCAGGCAGCTGCAACCTGTGCTCAGGCAGCTCTTAAAGACATAGTGTGCCCCTCCCCAGGGGCCGCCCCCCACCTCTGCACCGGCCAGACCCCTCTCCCTCCCACCACCACCCAGAGCCCTTCACGCCTGCTGCCCCGCCTGCTCCCTTGGCCTGAGTCCTTTGCCCGTTGCCCCCCACCCCCTTCTGGGCCAGGCACCTGCATCTCGGTCCTGCACTCCCGTGGGCCTGACTCAGGCCACTGGCCTTGGCTGAGCTCCCCGAGAGTACCCAGGAGAGCCAGAGTCTTTTAAGGCCCAACCCTGCCTCCCATCTGCATCTAAACCCCGGGTCTCTGGAGCCCTCCTTTCTTAAGCTCCTGACCCAGAGGCTTCTAGCTACAGGGTAAAGGAGAACAGTCTAGAGGTCAGAGGGTCACCCCCCTAAAAGGCTATGTTGAAAAATAAGAGACAAGGGATTGCAGTCCCAAGCCCCAGGCTATGGATGCATCTCCAGAGACCACACCCCCCTGGGGATCGGGAGACTGTTCCCTCCCTTTACCAAGGATGGGGCTTGATTCCCAGGCTCCTGCAGGCTCCTGGATACCTCAGCTCTAGCAGTGGGGGGATGGGGAGGGGAGCAGGTGGGTGTGAGGGGGCGTGGAATCTATTAATACTTGTCCTGTCATTATGCCTTCCACTAGACAGCACACCCATCCTGGAGGGCAGCAGCTCTGTTGTAGATCTGCTGCACCCCTCTACCCTCCTGGCCAGGTCTGGCACAGAGAAGGTGCTTGCTCTGCTGGATGAATACATCCCAGTTTCTCACCTCCAGAGCTCAGCCTACCTTTCCCAGTGAATATCACACCCTGGAGGGCAAGCGTCTGGCCATTCCTCCATGCATTCTCCATTCACCCAGGATTCCCCAAACACCTGAAGCACCCCTGCCTCCACCCACGCACACCCTGCTGCCCCTGCCCTGCAGTGCCCTCCTGGTTTACCTCAGCGTACAAGTTCTGGGCAACATTCTTGACGTGTGCCCCTACAGAATTGTGACTGTTTTGTTTAGTTCTCCTCACTAGGATAGGAAGTGGGTCTTACTGATCTTTGTGCCTCCAGGACTAAGTGCCGTACCGTCTCAACCAGTCATTAAATTATCTGTCAGTTGGTTGGATATATGCCCCATGACTTAAAAATAAACCACATAACCTTGGAGTTTCTTATAAAAGTTGAGCAAATTTGGCTTCTGGGGAGTAATATCTGAAGTTAGGATTTTATATAGAGACAGCTCTGCTTATCATATCCCAACTCCAGGGAATGCACTATTTTATAATAACAGCAGAAGCATTAAGTGCTTCAGAGGTGCTCACTGACTCTTCACAACAACCCTGGGAAGTAGATACTATTATCAGTCTCATTTTACAGATGAAGAAACTGAGATTCGGGCAGTTAAGTCCCTCGTCCCCAGCTGGCAGGTGATGGGGTCAGAATTGGAACCCAGGGTTTTCAAACTCCCTGCACACTATAGTTTTCCAGCCTTAGCAGATACAGAGAGGACTGGTGTAAATGCACACTTAGAGGCCCCAGAAAACACTGGTCCTTATAAATCCAGCCCTAACCCCACCCCAGCCTGGCATGA